CTAATAATTTGATTTTGTGGAAGTACATGTAATTCTCGTGAATGTTTAAAAAATCACAAAATTTACAACCCTCGAAAATTTGCATTATAGTACTATACGTCAACAAAAAAACATCAACATGTACTAATATTATACACAGAAATATGCTCTATCTATTCTTACCATAAGTATTGCTGGGTGTGTTCCCCCAGTGGTCCTTATACTCTACATATCCACCAATTGGCACCCTCTTAATATTCGGTCTGTTACTCCTCCTTACTCCAGGAGTGAGATCAGTCCTTCGAGTGATCTCAGTGATAGCTAAAGTGAAGGTAAATTGTAATGAGAAGAAAATAGATCCAAACACCCAAAATTAAAAGTAGTAACATGACTTAGATATAGACTATTAATAATATTACATGTGTGCTGTAATACCATATACGGCATATATTTCATGGGGATTAAATTTCACGATTTTTGTGTTTTGAAAAATATCCCAAAATTAAAATATGCAAAATAGCGTGCTGATTGTATAGTGGGTGTGGTAATTACATTAAAGTCGTGAAATTTTTATTCGCAAATAGAAAAATGCAATCAAATCGTGAAATTTCATACCAGCAAAATATATGCCGCATACGGTACTATTTAAAGCTGCTTTAAAATTTGGCCAATGCTGCATGGGCTATTACAGCACATACATGTACATGTATGGGACCATATAGCCAGTAATTTGGAGGAACAAAATTTTTTGTAAATCACAAAATTTTCGATGATTGGGATGTAGAAAGTGTGAGCACATACTGATAATGTTTCATTTTTAAAAGTTACTAAAAATTGGGTTAAAGTCCCTGTACTATAGTACAGTGTCATGGGCCAAATTTCGCCAAAAATGACTAGGAGAGATTTTTCATTTTTATAATTTTTTCCTGATACATATACATGTTCTTATGTTGTGTAGCAAGTTTGAGCTGATTCCAATCAAAATTAGATTTTTTATGAATTTTTTTAATTACTCAAAAATCGGGCCAAAGTCCCTGTACTATAGTACAGGGTCATGGGCCAAATTTCGCCAAAAATGACTAGGAGAAAATTCTCCATTTTTATAATTTTTCCTGATACATATACATGTTCTTATGTTATGTAGCAAGTTTGAGCTGATTCCAATCAAAATTAGATTTTTTATGAATTCTTTAAATTACTCAAAAATTGGGCCAAAGTCCCTACAGTATACAGTCTGAGGCTAAAGTTTGCTAAAAATAAAAAGAAGAGCCTTCTCCATTTTAATTTTTTATACATGAATTTGAGCTGACTCCAATCAAAATTCAATTTTAAAGATGCTTTTTTCAGTCAATCAAGGGGCAAAACAATATAAAAATAAATAATATAAAAATTACATGTACATGTACATATACAATCAAACACACTTACTCCTCTTGGTTGGTTGGCGTCGTCGTGGTGGAGGGCAAGTTATTTTCTTCCGTTTCCTCCTTGACTTCACAACAGTCTTCAAAGGAGAAGCATTAGGCAACTGATCAATTGGAGCAGCTTTAGAAGGAGAAGCTACATCCTGTATGCTATCAATGATAAGAGGAGGCGTGTCTTTCCTGGCAGTGGAAGGCCTACAATGTACATGTGCATGTATGAATATTAAAACATCAGATAATTAAACTCTAATAATTCGTTAGATGACTCTAATCATAATTACAATGAATAAAGGCAGTCAAGACAACAAACAACCTACAATTTAAACTTTTAATCCCCTCTTAGTTTTTACTATAACTTCTCTCTTTACTCAACTTATACTTATTGTAGTGGAAAACCCACAATACATTTACATCCATACTGCAACATGAGATGAGATGGTTTGTATTATATGGCCCGGACACTGCCAGTAATTTGAATGATAAAATTTTACAATTCAAAAAACTTAAGTGTCTCATATAAGTGGTATATGCACTCTAATCATAATCAAAATAAATTAAGACAGTCAAGCCAACATTTCAACTAAACTATGGCTACATTTTAATTCTCTCTTAGTTTTTATTATATTTTCTCCCTTTACTGGACTTACTTTGAATTGGTCACAGTAGTCCTGGTAGAGGCTCTACTAGTAGGAGGAGGTTGTGGAGGAGGAGGAGATGAAGTTGTAGTTGTATGCCTAAAAAATTTAAAAATATTCTCACAGTATCTCCCCAACAATAAATCCCACTACTAGCGTATAATGGTAATAAAGGTACAGTATATGTAAATGTAGTACATGTACATATTCAAGTGACTTAATGTACCTTGAATTATTGGTAGACCTTGAAGCATTCCTAGTGGAGGGTCTGGTGGTAGTGACAGGAGGAGGTGGAGGAGAAGGAGATGAAGTATGCCTAAACAATTTTAAAATAATTATTCTTATAAATATACAGCCTGGCCTCCACAATTCAATTCGTACCATACACAGTATGCATGTACATGCACATAGTACAACTGTATAGTATAGAGTGGGATTCATTCACAAATTACCGTATACAGTCAAACCTGTCTATTCCGGACACCTTGGGACCAAATAAAACTGTCCTTATTATAGAGGTGTCCTTATTTCAGAGGTTCATTAATACACATTTATATTGTATTGGGACTGATACTACCTGTCCTGATTATAGAGGTGTCCTTATTTTAGAGTGTCCACAATAGCAGGTTGCAGGTTTCACTGTAGTGGGTAATTTTGGAGGGGATTAAATTTGGCGAATTTGGCGTTTTGATAGCCATTCACCAAAATAAAACCCCACCATTTTGAGCTATTATACGCATGCTCAATGACACGTGGCCACAAATTCGCCAAAATTAAAATCCACCAATTACCAAAATTTAGCAATTCACCAAAATTTATCCCCTCCAAATCTACCCGCTATACAGTAACCTACATGTACATGTAGTGATGTACCGATTTAGTAAATTTTGTAATTTATATGTAATTTATAAGTAAATTTATATGTATTGTATATATGTATTAATATATGTATTGTTCTCTCTTTACTGGATTTACTTTGAATTGGTCACAGTAGTCCTGGTAGAGGCTCTACTAGTAGAAGGAGGTTGTGGAGGAGGAGTTGTAGTTGTGTGCC